ACCAGTTCTACTTTTGTCCTTCACAACATCCCCTGGCATCAAGTTCCACAGGTGGACTGTGCATTGTGTGAAGAAGTATTTCCCTATGTTTGTTTTAAAGCTACTGCCTATTAATTTCATTGGGTGATGCCTGGTTCTTATGTTATGTGAAGGGGTAGATAACACTTTCTGATTCACTTTCTTCACACCAGTCATGATTTTATAGACCTCGATCGCACCCCCCCTTAATTGTCTCTTTTCTAAACTGAACAGTCCAAGTCTTTTTAATCTCTCCTCATATGGAACTTGTTCCATTCCCCTCATCATTTTTGTTCCCCTTCTCTGTACTTTTTCCAGTTCTAACGTATCTTTTTTGGTAGGGGGTGACCAGAAGTGCAAGTGGTATTCAAAGTGTGGGTTTACCATGGATTTATATTGCGGCACTACAATATTTACTGTCTTATCTATCCCTTTCCTAACGGTTCCTAACACTGTGTTCGCTTTTTTTAACTGCTGCTGCACATTGAGCAGATGTTTTCAGACAACAATTAATGATGACTCCAAGAGCTCTTCTTAAGTGCTAACAGCTAATTTAGACCCCACCATTTTATATGTATAGTTGGGATGATGTTTTCCACTGTGCATTACTTTGCATTTATCAACACTGAATTTCATCTGCCATTTTGTTGCCCAGTCACCCAGTGTTGTGAGATCCCTTTGAAACTTTTCACAGTCAGCTTTGGACTTCACTATCTTTAGTAATTTTATATCGTTTGCAATCTTTGTCACTGTTTACTGCTATTTCCAGATCATTTACATGTTGAACAGCACTGGTCCCAGTACATATCCTTGGGGGACCCTGCTATTTACCTTTTTCCACTGTGCGATGAAATTGCTTTTTTCAGGTATAGCTTATTTTACTCAGAGAACTGGTGTAAACTACACTGGCAAAAGCCTTGTTTTGCTGGTCTAAGTTGCATCTACACTAGGAGAACTTGCTGGAATAGCTTATAATAGTATAGCTATACATTAGAATCATAGAATCATAGAATATCAGGGTTGGAAGGGACCTCAGGAGGTCATCTAGTCCAACCCCCTGCTCAAAAGCAGGACCAATCCCCAATTAAATCATCCCAACCAGGGCTTTGTCAAGCCTGACCTTAAAAACTTCTAAGGAAGGAGATTCCACCACCTCCCTAGGCAACGCATTCCAGTGTTTCACCACCCTCCTAGTGAAAAAGTTTTTCCTAATATCCAACCTAAACCTCCCCCACTGCAACTTGAGACCATTACTCCTTGTCCTGTCCTCTTCCACCACTGAGAATAGTCTAGAACCATCCTCTCTGGAACCACCTCTCAGGTAGTTGAAAGCAGCTATCAAATCCCCCCTCATTCTTTTCTTCTGCAGACTAAACAATCCCAGTTCCCTCAGCCTCTCCTCATAAGTCATGTGTTCCAGACCCCTAATCATTTTAGACCTTTCCTAGTATGGACACGTCCTTGCCCTGCAGAACTGAGATGTGGCAACCTGATCCAAAGCTTATTGAAAGCAACAGGAGTATTTCCATAGAGTTCAGTCATCCCCAGGGCTTGATTGACATGCATGTAGCTATGATGGATGGCAAGAGCTGGAGGTATCTCTGTTAATGTTGAGGTGCAAAAGCCTGCCTCCCACGTGGTTGCTGGAGCTATCCTGGGTCTGTGGACATGGCACTCCACAAACAAGCAACCTCAGAGGCTGTTTTCCTTTGCTCCAAACCCCATGACAGTTGCATGAGTTTTTTGTTGCGTTTGAATGATGTAGGTATGATATTAGCATTAGAGGAAAGCAGTAAATATCATCCCTCTCCCCCTTTTGATAGAAACAAAGAAAAGGAAAGCAAACAAGTATCTTAATCCTCAGTAAATACTTAAAGTAAATGTAGAGAGCCACATTTTTGCCCTCGGTTATAACGGTCATGGGTTTGCCCAGTTGTAACAGAGGGCAGAAATTGTACTGTAGTGTGTGTTTAGCATGGGGTGCCTGTTTCATAAAGGTTGAGTCAAAGAAAGACTAGTCTTGCAGTGAAAGTACTAGACTGGCCTCCCAGAAACCTGGGTTCAAGTCCCAGCCCTATCACAGGTGCCTAGTGTGGTCTCAAAGAAGTCTCTGTTTGCCTCAGTTGCCCCTTATTAAATGGTGGGGATGATGATACATCCTTTGTCTGTCTTGTCTATTTAGAATGTCAGCTCTATGGGGGTAGGGATTGTCTCTTACAATGATTTTGTTTAGCATCCAGCACAATGCTCAGACCTCTACGTGCTACAATAATTAATAAGAAGGAAGGTGTTTGAGGACTCGTTCCTCTCCATTCACCTTAGTCAGAGTAATCATTATTGAGGAAATACCCTTTTGATTTAATAAGATACTTATCTAAAGACAATAACTACCAATTAATTGTGAAGATTTAATTAATGTTTAATAACTAAAAGAGATATGTATCTCTTACATGGCAGTTAAGCCGCTATACATATATTTTAATTATGATGTAGCATTTATTTAACATACAATCTTGTCTTTTTAAATCTAAATTAAATGCACATTTGAAGCGTTTAAAGTGTTATGAAAATTTCACTCATGCACACACTTGTGCACTCACTGCATGTAATGTTTGCACACATATGCACTCTCAATTACATGCAAAAATGACATATGCACATGCCTCACAGATCACACAAAAAGGTGTGCATACTTCATGTCTACACATACACATCCATACAGAGTCAGCTCGTGCATGGAAAACCCACCACTAAGCACAAATCATATATTCACACATAGACACAAATAACTACACACATTTATGCCAACACATATATGTGCATATACGCAAAAACATACATGCATACCAAATATATGCAGCATATACATGCAGATCCAAACACTAGCATGTGTTCATTATTAGAAGCAACAATTTCCATATAGAAGATTTAAAGAATATTATGTTGTGAGTGAGCTTTAAGAAGATGACAAATTAACAGCTAAAGAGAAATTTCAGTGGGATCTCTATTGTTTGTGTTTAACCAGTTTTCTATGGATTCCTTTAGGGCATTTAAACGTTAGAAAATCGTGTTAGTGCTCATATTCTTCTTCGCATCTGCCAAGCCACTCAATATGCTGCTTAGTCTGAATGTGAAAAGGTCTAGAATTCAAGGATGATCAGAAATGAATTCTATTTTGGAAAACATATTGAGGAGATAAACGTGTGAAATAAGAGCAGCTAAGCCGCTGAGTCATTCCCACTGTTCTCGAGAAGCATCTCTACCAACACCATTTCTGGAAAGCTGCAACCTATTGCAAAAGGCTTTCCCCCAAAAACACACTCAAGGTTTAGGTGAGCCGTACAAATCTGAAGCTTTTCAAGAGATGTTTGAGTAGTAAGCCAATCTGAAATGCATCCGATGAAGTGAGGTGTAGCTCATGAAAACTTATGCTCAACTAAATTGGTTAGTCTCTAAGGTGCCACAAGTCCTCCTGTTCTTTTTGCGGATACAGACTAACACGGCTGCTGCTCTGAAACCTGTTTAAAAACCATGATTGTGCTATATCAGTCTCATAACAGAAATATGCAATACTGCTGCTAGTGATGGGTGATCATTAACAAGGTTTGAAGATCCAGGAATTCTCTGGGTAGAACAGTCTGGGTACATGCCAAGCCACAGAGGACCTAGTTATGGGTCCCTAGTTCTAGATTCAGTTTTGCCCCTGTACACGGTGCCCTCAAAAGTAGATGACTATGGCCCCCTAAGTCGTTGTTCATCAAGTGAGTAGCAGTTGGTGCAGTAGCATTTTGCCCACATTCCCTCTCTCCAGGCCCTTCATACCAGGGTTTGCAGAGTTAAGTGAGGTAGGAGCTGGCTGCCCAGGAGATTCAGCTGCATTGCAGATCCTTTGGACCAGAAGAGAACTGCAAAAAGGCCAGCTTGCCATTGAGAGGCTGGCCCCAAAGTCTGGTGGTATTTTAAGAACATTATCCAAAATATCCCAACTTCTTGGTTTTTTAAAGTTGGGTTGGACAGCACATGGCAATATGCATCCCTATTGAGACCTTCCAGTGTTTAGTACTTCTGGTGTGACTAGCAAAACCATCAGAAAAGATTTTCTTAAGGTATTTTAATAGTTGGGTAATTGCTGATGCATAGTGGCTCTCCATCAAACATCAGGGCTTTGGGTCCCTCATTTTGGTTAAGGTCCCCAGGCTCCAGGAAAGCAGCAGAATTTGCTAGCGACTGGCCAGCAGGCTTCGCCTATCCATTTACATCAAGCTGACTGTGTGGTTGTGTATTTACAATATGGATTTTTCTGCTCAGCAAGCTCAACTAAATGAGGAGCACCTAGTGCTCTTCCTCATGATATCCTGCAACCCTTCCTCATAACTGTGGCTTTTGTAGCTTTCCAGCCACCTGGTAAGATATTAATGGACTCAGTTTACTCATACAGTAATGAGTCTAGCAGCCAGGTTACTTTGTCCTTCACAGGAGGAGTCTAGTATGAAGGAAACTGGAAAGTGAGTTAATACTCTGCAGTGTATGCAGAGAAAAGGTACCGCAGGCAAACAAATGAAGTGGCATACATTTGGGATGCAACAGTTTTAATGGACGCAGGAGCTCAGCATGTCATTTCTGTGTGATGTTTAATGATTCATTTTGCAGTAAGACTAAATGTCCCAGGCTGGGCGATAGAATCTATCCCTAACATCATTCTTTGACTATGAACTATTACCATTGGGACACTTACCAATTACCATTTTCATTTACATCCATAAATCTTATTGTGGTACTAAGTTTCATGCAAGATGGAAGCATCCAGCATTTTAAGAGGATAAATATTAATAATTATGGTTTTAATGTAGGGAAAAGAACTAGCCAAGTATTCATGAAAACATGCGTGACTGAGACATTACCAAAAAAAAAAAAACCCAATATATTCTGGCTAAATTTACCCATTATAATTTAATCTTTATTTTTCTTTTCATCCTTAACAGGATTCCATTGGTGAACCTGTAAAAAAAAAAAGGGTTACCAATACCTACCATTTCTGTTTACCAGTAGGAGACTCAAACAGCAGCACTCTATGTGCCAAATATATTTTTATAAAAATGAACACACCTGTAGGAAACTGCATTTTCAAAGCGCGCATTTATGGGAGAAGAGAAAAAAACATGCAAGCAAAGAAGCCTATGAAGAAAGGGGAAGTTAAGACGAAATAAAGGAAAAGGACTGAACATCTGGAGTTTGGGATATGGACTGTGATTCTGAACCTGTGCCAATAATACCATTATGTGCCATGTACTGATCTGAAAGACTTCACAAGAAGCTGAAGCTAAGTGAATTACACATAGAAATATTAGAGAAAACCGGGGTGGGGAATCTCTTCTGATAGAGTCAGTATTTCTGGTTAATATACATATATACATATAGATATAAATATATATATATATACAAACACACACACACACATACACACACTTTTTGTACTGTAGCAATTTTTGAAAGTCGTAAATATTCATTTTTTAAAAATTGTGTCATGGGTTACAAATCTGATTTCTTTAACATTCTTCGTGTGAACTAAATAAACTGATGTTTTCTACTTTGGCAGCTTGCCTTTAAAACACACACACACACACACACACACACACCCTCTATTTGAAATAAATTTCCACTAGTGAACAAATCGTTTGCCAGGCCTAATAAACCATTGATTACAGAGGATTCCCTGAGAAGGCTCTGAAACTCTGTTAAAGTGACAGTTCTCTTATCCATTGTAGAGTTGCCAGGGTGTTGGCAAGACCCAGAAGGGATTATGTTAAACCTAAAGCAGAAACGTATGGCAATGTTCATTTATATGATCAGTTGGTTCTGATAGTTCTGAAAAGAAAGAGAATGGTTAATAAATAGTATTTGGGGCTGTTTTGAAACAAAAGCAGAATTGAGATGTGTTTTGAATACAGTTAAAGTCCTCTTTGGATGCCTCTGGGCCAAATTGACAAAGACCATTCCAGTTATTGTGAAATTAAAAAAAAAATCCCCAAATTTAAACCACACAGGCAAGGAATCAGTAGGAGATCCCTTGAGCAAAGCCCTCAGATCTTAGCCCAGAATTCAAGTAATGGCACTGCTATGAAACAGCAATGAGCTGGAAGAACATTCTGTGTTTGGAGAGTAAATTTAAAACCAGACTTCATTCCAAATGGCCCCAGTTGATACTATTTAAATGGCCTGGCTTCTGCTCCATGTAAACCATTGTGCCCTGGCCAAGATCGTCAACAATTATCTCATGCTATTTTCTGTGTGGTAAAATCAACAGAGACAAATTTCCCCCTTCCATTCCTCAACCCCAGTCACTAGACATTGCATCTGTAAAGACACCAAAGTGATCAACTCTCCATTGCACTTTCTAGTTTATGGTAAGACATCTGAGGCTAAGATACACTGGACTGGACTGCTGAAAATCTGAAAGTAGAGTCTGAAGGCTGCATCGGCGCCTGTATCCATTCATTAGACAATAAATACTGAAGAAAGTTCACAGAAATGAACAGCTGAAACCAGCAGCAAGGGTTACGGTCACTTTAAACCAGGTATAGTTATAGTGGTTGCCCAGGGAAATGGAGTGGAGAACTTTTTTTACCTTTTGGATTAATGTATCAAGAAGGAGCATAGAAGGAAACCCTGAAAACAACTCTTAAGTTTCCTCTGTTTTATAGTGCCCTGACCCCTATTTGTATGTTTATGGTGTTATATCTAGGGGCTGGCCAGGGACAAGTTTTAAACATTACTCAGTTTGTGGGAAAATGTAGGAGAAGGTTCCACTGTTGACACTTGTGTTTCGCTCATATCAATATCATCTTATCATGGCAAATTATGAATCACCATATTACACAAAGCCACTGCATTGATGATGGGTGAAGTAGCGTTTTACAATCCTTGTTCCCTCGTGGAGCTGCAGAGTACTTCCAAAAACAGGTGTGCAAATATTCATTCTGATTTTTAAATGCATTCACTATGACTGTGGCTCTGGGTATGCCTCTTCAGTGTTTGCTTTTTGTGAACTTGCTATTGATGGTGTTTTATTGCCATAAAGTGAATTTCTAAGTCAGAGGTGAGTGCTCTTGAAGACTGAATATCAGATTTCTGTGTGTGATTATTCATGCCAGAAAAGCCTGTAATCTCATCCTATCAGAGAAGAAAAACAATTCTGTGTGACTCCTTTGGCCAATAACAACTAACCAACGTTGGACCTGATCCAAAGCCAACTGAAGTCAGTGGTGTCCTTCTATTGACTTCCCTAGGCTTAGATTACGTCTGTAGCACGAATAGCAAATGCTGATAAAGAACTACCGGTACACAGCCAGTAAAAAAGACCTCAAATTATTTTGTATAATGAATAAAACTGAATGAATGTGTCAGTCTGCTCACAGAGATTCCGCCAGCAGAAAAGGTGAAGGCAAATTTCTTGTGATAAATTATGCTTTTGTTTAAGCAGCTCCAGTCTCTTACTTTTTAATAACATATCACATGTCCATTCTCCAGGTAGTCTTTTTTGCTAAGGGTAATAAACTGTTTTGAACTTGTTGACCTATGCACTAAAATTTGCTGTTTGAACCTTTGCAGTGGGATGGAGGTTCTGATAATAGGCAGTAGGGTAGCAGGCGGAGCTGTGCTGGATAGCGAGATCAAACTCAAAGTTCAGTTTGGCTGTCATCTTTAAATACGAGGTATGGGAACAGCTCCACCCCACTAATAGCCGCTGATATCTATCCAGGGACTGCTTCTGCAGATTGAAAGGTGTCCTGCTGTGTGCACACTTGGACAAATAAGTAGGTAGATAGACTTTAAGATAGACTTTAGCAAACAGTTTTCAAAGGCTCCTCCTATCTCTAAAGTCTGCCTCCCTCCCATGCATGAAAGAGGGCATCTTCCATTTTACAAATGACTTATCAAACTCCCAAGACTTGTAGCTATTTTTTTTAGATAGTGGCATCTGACTCATTTTAGCTGAAGCATACAGCACAAATCATTCATATGACCTGACATGTCTAAAATACCAAACTCTGCTCTAGTGATTCTGTTGTAAACCTGGAGTAACCAATGAAATAAATGTCAATGGAGTTAGTTTACATCAAGGTAACTGAGAGCAGATTTTTTAACCCAAAGCCCCTAAATCCCCTTTCTAAACTGCTCTCTCAATGGTGGGATTATCCAGAGCTACATCTGTATTTATACATTAGGTACTAGACTCAATTTTTCTGTGACATTCAACATTTAATTATTTTAGAAGAGAGTGAAAACACTCCTCGTTATACCTAGGCAACGGTGCACATTGCACCTGTGAAACATTATAACTCAGGCAATCGCTTGTCTTTCTAGATTACTTTCTATCCATTTTTAAAGCACCTGTGTTTTTCTAATCTACTGCTGAGCTCTGGGAGGAAATCTTCCTTGCCCTGCTCCACCATAACATCTGTGGGCCTGACTCAAAGCCCTTTGAAGACATTGGAAAAACTCCCAGTGACTCTGATGGACTTTGATTCGTGCCCTAAATTCTTTTTCTCAGAAGACCCAGCCACTCTAGAGCCACTCTGGCAATATAGATGAGACGTATAATAGAATTTTGTCAGTGTGCACTATTATATTTTTCCATGTTAAATTTTATCTGCCATTGTGCTGCTCAACATTTAATTGTCTATATCCCAGCTTAAGTTTATCACTGTCCGTCACAGGTTTTATAAAACAGCTATTCAGCAAACTTCATCAACTCGGCATCCATTTTCCCTATGAATATTAACCCCCAAAGTAAACTAGTACTAACTTCTATCCACTGTGTGCGGCAGCTGTACATTAGCAGTAGGTTTCATAGTGCACCTAGTCAGTTTTTGTTCCATGACAAAACTTTTCTCCTGATACTATAGTCATTTATTGCCTCAGGGCCAGATTCTGATCCTCTTAAGTTGAGTAAATACCACTTGACTTCAATGAGACTGCTCACAGTGAGGCACTGTTCAGTATGAGTTAGGGGATCAGAAATTTTCCCCTTAATAATATTTTACAGTTGACTTTAGCAAAATCTTTCAGAAAACACAAGTAAAATTGTGCTCCTGTGTGACATTATCTGCTATTTCAAACAACTCCAAGGCTAGGCAGACATGTTAGATTACACATACTTCCCCAAATACTCTGCTTTTGTGATTAGTTAGACTCTTCTATTGTAGCAGGGTGAAGTTTGCTGATCTGTAATTCCAGGATCTCCCAGGGCTACTTGTAAAAGAACTTCACCCCCGACCACGACTGAAGTCCCATGTATAGCCTATTAAGCAGGATTTAAGCGGTACACAGTTCTTGTTTCCTGTTCTCTATACAGGGGGAGAATTTCACATGAAAGGGCTGAAGCGCCTTCAGCAACTTCCCTTGGAAATATAATGTATGTGTATTCAGTGCTCTGCCTCCACCTCTCTAAAACATGACTGCCATCAGGGGCAGGTACTGTCAGGCCCTTCTCCAGTCACCAGTGGAGTATTAACCCATGGCCAGGTAACAGCTTGACTTCTACCTCCTAAATTCAAATTCACTGAGGTGCTATGCTCATCCAGTGCGACATCCCAGACATTATGATGCAAGCACTATATTCACTATATTCACGGAGGAGAACATACACTAGATTGCTTTAGTAGTGCAGAAAGCTGAATTAATAAGCATAAAGGACTACCCTGTTTTGATTGATAATTCTACTAATCAGCATTATTATTTCTATATATATATACGGGCCTTATTCTCCTCTAGCTCACGCTGGTGTAAATCAGGAGTGACTCCATTGGTGTCAGTGGAGTTACACCAGTAAAGCACCTTTAAGTGAGATGAGACTGAGACCCCCCCACAGCATGCACTCCTCAGAGTCCCACCCCAGTCTGTCAGCATATCACAACTTCTACACAATGAGGGGTACGCCGTCCTTAGCACCCCCTAGTGCACTCAACGGACTGTAGAGGCACTAACCACAATTAGCGATATACCTAATAAGCAACACTTTTTTTAAAACAAGCAGTTAAATCAAAATTTGCACGATTAATGTGATTTTGGGGTGATTACTTTGGTGCAATCTGTTGATTCAGTGTATGGGGGCTTTTGTATTTTACCAGTGTAAACAGTGCAGCCCTCAAAAACTATCAAAACTCGCCAGCACAGAGTATATACATTTTCCTTCTTTGTTTTACTTATATAGCATTGACCCTCTTCCAACTCTGAAGACTGTGTTTTGTACCTTTACCCATTGATCTTCTATTTATTTGTATTTTTTGGCTGCACTGTGTAGTACTTGTGGGTATTCCAATGTAATCCTAATGGCAGTTTGACATCATAAAATATATTTCAAATCCCTTATTCCAAAATGTTTGAAGGATTGTTACATATTTTTGCATCTATGGTGTTAGAGTCTGAACTAGACTGCAGGAATATACTCTAGTAGGGAATGGAGTGAACTTTGTATCGCATGTGAGGTAAGCAGGAGGGGCCCAAACTCCCATGGGATAAGCATCCTCAAGAGAGAATACCTTGGACCTCAGGAGACTCAAGTATGATTTCAGATGGCAATTTCAGGAGCCTTCCATACACTCTGCAAAGGGACAGCTTTGGTCACTGTGAGACCAGACAGGGGCAAAACAGAAAACAAAACGACATGCACAAACTTCCCTTCTTTGTAAGGACCAACAGCACTTGCACTTTATCAAAAGAATACTGACATCCCTCTGTATGCTAAACAAACCAAGAGAGGGACCAGCCAGCAGACCCACCGGCAGGAGACATAGAATTCAAAACTGCAAATACGATTCACCGTGCAGAATTCTAATGTCCTGGCCTTTTATATGTTCAAATAAAAAACAACAAATTAGGTTTAATTCATTCCTTGTATCTAATGGTAGCCAAAAAAAAAAAAAAAAGTAGAATTATATGGTTGTGTGGAATAGATGCTTACCAATTCTTTTTCTGTTACATCAGAGAGAACAGATTCCCCCACACTCTGTATCTGATGATAAGAGTCTGTTTAGATTTACATTATGCCTTCAGCCAGATTTCGCCATGGGAATCTTACAACAGCAGCATGCCATCATCTTTCAGTGCATCCCCTTTCTGGTGAACACGTAGGCCACATCTGGGGCCGATGGTAAATGGCATAGTTCCATTGACTTCAGCTGTCACCAGTGGAACATCTGGCCCAAAATCCTTTAGCAGTGAAGAGCCAAATGCTTGTCATAGAATTACTTTCCTCGTGCATGTAGTTCCACCGAGTTTAATGGGACTTAATCCTGTGAGAAACCTTACTCGGGTGGATGTTGGTAGGATCAGGCCTAAGTAAGTATTTTGTATTACAGTCAGAACCAAAATCCCTTTTCCAGCCAAACTGCACTCCATAGGGTGGTGTGATATCCTGTACATCAAAATAGAGCATGAAGACCCCGGACAGTTTAGTTTTATTTACATTTACTCGGGGCAATAGTTTTTTCCACTCACGGGCAACCAATGTCAGAGCAAGTCTCCAGCAAATATGCCTTATATTTCAAGGGAGATATTGCAACAATGTTACGCTATGGAATATGGGGTATGTATTTATTGTGAATAGATTAATAGATCATAAATGTCGATATGCAACCACATATAATATTAAGACTAGCGTTCCATCAGAGGGTTCTGCTGACACTCAAAACAGCAAGGACGGGCTGCTTTTCAGCAGAACTCCATCACAGAGTTTTGTTGCGGCATATGTGGGATATATAATATCTATATGCAAACTTTAGAATGTTTCTTTCTGGGATTGTTTTCAGTTTACGTTCCGTGGGCTTGATTCTGCTAGGTTCTAAGCACTTACTGGACCCTGTTCAGAAAACTCCTTTCTCCTGTGAATAGAGTTGATTTCAGTGGGAGCTGAGAGAGCTCAGCACCTGGTGGGAGCAGGGCCCATGTTCCCAGAAAGTCATAATAGAGTACTACCAATGTGATGTCACAATAGAAGTTTTAGGTGGACAAGAGGTTTTGAGAGGCAGCATTGCCTAGCTGAATGTGCTAGGGATTGTCCTAATCTGTCCTAATCTCAGCTCTTCCAGAGACTTACTGAGTGGTTTGGGACAAGTCACTTAAACTCTCTCTGCCTCCTTTCCTTCACCTGTAATATGGGGATAACAATGCTTCCCAAATCTACCTGGCAAGGGTGTTGTGAGCATTAATTATCTGGTGTCTGTATTCTGTTTTGAACATGTTCAGCACAATATTCGTGCTAAGTATTATTATGTCCAATCAGTAGCACTGCATTGTCTGCTGGAATTCTCAGAGACCATAGCAACATTACCGACAAGATACCCATGGATTGCAGTGATATTCAGAGATTTGTAGAACACAAGATACAGGTCGTAAGCCAGAAGTATGTGTCGCTCATTATATCATATTCCCTGAGTTTGTCATATCCTTAAAAATATACATTTGATTTTTCATCTCAATGCATTGCAGATAATGCAGTTCAAACAAAGAACTGTGGTGTTTGTCAGGCCAGACCATTTCAGTTCACCTCTTTCAGTTTCCATTCAGTTCATTTTATTTGACAAAGAATAAACAAATACACTACAACAATTAAGTTGCTATAGGATTCCAAAACTTGTCGCAATCTACTCTCTCCTTAGTGCATATGACTGTCTCTCAGTAAAAGTAATAGGTGGGAGTCAGAGGGTTACATACACCAGGAAGCTGCCAGTCCTTTTGCCCTGAAGCTGAACCTGCCACATGAACTTACTCTAAGGTTCAGAATAGTTTGGTTCATTTTTTGTGCCAAATCCATATCCAGGCCTTTTCCTGCCAATTGTAATGCATGTGAGCTGGGACTGGCTGCATCAGGAGAAGCCTGAAGGACCAGAGCCTTCCTTTTTACTTGCTCAGAAAAAGCTCCCATTGACTTCAGTGGGGATTTTCCCCCAGTAAGGACCGAGCAAAAATTGAGGAAGAACTTCAGGTCTTGGGGCCTGTTCTAAAGTTCTCTGAAGTCAATGGGAGTCTTTAGATCAGGACTTTTGATCAGGCCCAAGGCCCTCTTATCTGCTGGTGTTACCTGGAAATAGAAGGCAACCCATGCTTGTACTTCCAGCCTTATTTCCATGCCAGACAGATTCAGACAAGCATCCGGTCTTTTGGCTGTCTATCCAGAACATTGCCAATCACTAGTGGGAGAACAATTAATTCCCTAATTTATTGCAAACTAAATATTTTCAAAAGGTAGCAACTGGTGTTAGCACCACTTGGAAAGATGTGCATCTTTCAGCCGTGGTGAGATTTTGGGTAAATGCTGATGTGGTTTTATTGTCCTCCAGCCAAAGTGAAAAATAATTGTCTTCATTTGCAGCATCTTTAAAAAATCCAGATATCTCCTTGTACCTTAAAAGGTGGCCATTTCTCCAACCACATCTTCCCGGTTGGCCAAATGGCTCAACCCCTCTGAAATATTATTTTAAAGATGTGTTTCAGTTTACTTCTTTCCCACTTGTTCTGAAGGAGTGCAATGGAGCTAAAAGATTAGTCAAACAGTAAATATTCGACACATTATATATATAATTCACCCATGCCCTTCATATATAATGCAGTTGGAAATTTGAGTCAACCAGGTATGAAATATGCAAGAGATCTGCAAACAAGTAAGAAATCCCTCCTCATTTTAAAAGCCCAATTGAGGTCCGGTTTATACTGCAGAAGTCACATGATGCTTCCCACTCACTCCTTTTTTTCTTAGTCACAACATTTGTAGACACATACTTAATATGTGTGGAAAAAATATATCTTGCACAAAACATACACTAAGGGCACAGGGTTCTGATCAAGATTATTTTAGCTTCTGAGGGGTTTATTTTTTACTTTTATTTATTATTATTTTACATCTGGAATACCTCTTGTTATTTTTCTGCAAAAATTATATACCATATGTGGGTACACACCCACCCACTTACACACACACACACACACACACATACACTACAAACATGTATGTGAGTTTATCAGTCTTAACAGGTTTAAATCATTGTGTCAGTTCAATGTTGTACTATCCTTTTCTAGGCATATCATGGCCATATTACTAATAATAAATGACAATGGGTTTTCAGAGGGAGTCGAATGGCTGCGATTCCATACAGGTGAACTATTTTATCCGAGAGTGTTTTTTAATTTGTTTATGTATTTCAAAGCTATGTACTTGGAAAGCACTGTATATGCGACCCTATAACAATTTCCCGGTGTATATTTAGTACTCTGATGTTGCTATTAAAAAACAAGATGAGAAAAACAAGCAGTTTTGACTTTAGGTTCCTATGGTCACAATTCTTTAAATATTCACAGGAAAAACCTCTCTTCAAAGACGTTGCGAATAATTTGAGAGCCTACAGAAATGAACGATGAAGTAGCTGCTATTGTTTGCCTCACTGTACTTGTGGTGGCAGTTTTATTCCCACAATCAAAAGTTAATATAGGAGAAAAGTAGCAAACCATTTTTAAGGAAATCATATTTTATTCAGAAAAGCAAAGTCAGAAAAAGGTTAGCAGTAAGAAAGGCCTGATTCACAGCCAGTGGAAACACTCCCATTATTCTCAATGCGCTTTGCATCCCTTAATGTTCTTCTGTATGTTTCAAAATATTATCAGTCATTTAGCCGGGGGGGCGGGGGGGAGGGGGAGGGGGAGGCGGTCAGGGATTACCAAAGACCAAGGGGAGAAGCATAGAGAGCACGCAATGCACCCACTGAAATCACAGAGGTTAGGCAGGCCCAGAGCCCATTGTTATATCCTTGGATTCTGATCTGATTCCGGATTGCCCAGAAAAGAGCACCTGAATCCGTGGTGCTTTGCCCGCAGATGCAATATGTGCAATCTGAATGGAAGAAAACACCTGTCCCCGTCTCTGCAGCTTCGCCAATGGCTGCGAGCAGTCGGGAGTTCTCTCTGGCTAGATATCACGGGGCTGGAACGTCTTCCGAGCAGCAGGCGTTCTGAGTTCTCTGTAGGCGCCGGATCTCGGTTACAGGTAGGCTTCTGGGAGCTTATACTGCACACTTTTGTTTTTTCGGCAACAGGCCCCAGCCCATCATGAATGCTGCCAACAGGCTGAGGCATAAAAGTCCTATTAACTTGTTTTTTTTTAACTCTAAACTAGAGATAGGCTGGACACCACCCTGCATCCTCAGTCCTCCAAGCTTTGGGAAATGTGCTCCAGGGTCTAGTTCTACAATGGGTCACTGTTTCCCATCCGCATCCAGCTCCTGTGACATCTTGTACGGCATTACTGAATAGTAGGCTAAGGTTGTTAACTTGCGTCCAGTTCAGTCCCATTCCTGCTAGGCACGTTACCACATCACCACTGGGTATTACCAGCCCCAGGGCTCAATAGGACACTGAGCTTCTCTCTGGCCACCACGAGTGGACATGAGGCATATGGGCGGGGTGCTGTGGCTGGAGTTTGACCAGCCTCTCCCCAGGATCCCTCCTTTGTGTGGATCAGGATGGGACTTGAGCCTGCCAACCTGTGAATCTGGCACTTCTCCGGTGAAACTCACCCCTGCCCCCAGGACAGCTAAGATCGATGTCTGTAAGGGGCCTGACTGGCTGGCTTTGAGAGGCTGATGGATGGCACAATCTGCCTCTCTGGAACACATGGTCACACAGATGTACACAAGCATCTGTGTGGGTGGCAAGGCACACTTGGCTCAGCTCTGACTTGTGGCTCTCTCCGCAGTCTGAGGCGTCAGCAACCTTCCCACACAAAAGGCCGGGCCCTGTGCTCCCAGCCTTACTGATGTGCACAAGTACCTTCCTCTGCATGGATTCCAGGGCCACTGGCCTGGGCAGGACGGTACCCCTCTGCATCAGTCTTCTTCTTAGCTTATGTGCAACATGCCTCAAGTAGCACGTGACCAGGATTCATCACCGAATTTGGTCCGCTGGTTGGATCATTAGCTTCCCTGGCCCAGGGTACTGACAGGGAGCGTGACATGAACACTGATCCACGCCCCCGTCGGCATCAGTAAGGGAGACAGAATCTGGCCTTTCAAATGGGGAGTGCAAAGGGGCCGGTCAGGATCAGGGCCTGTTCCTGATGGCTCTCGGCAGTGACACAGAGAGACATGGCCACTGCCTTGAAGAGCTCGCAGGCTAAGGAGGAGATTGCGGATGTGCCACAAGCCCTGTGCAGGGTGCCACCTGAGGCATAGCCCAGGAAAGGAGCTGTCCCTTTGAGAACACAGTCCTTTCCTTGTTCCTAGGGGATAATATTTTGGTGCTGGCCTACACAAAGTTACCACACTCCCTGTGCTGCCAAAATATGTTGGTGTGAAAATGCCAGCTGATCCCTTCTGCCCCTCAACCCAGCTTCATTTGGGCACCCGGGCTGAGGAGAGTCTTACGGAAGGATGTGGAGGAGGACTTATTAAGAGTGGGCCTCCCTTCTGTAAGGGACAGCATGGGTGAAGGCTCCACATGTTTATGAGGGGCAGAGGGGTGGAGGAAGCTGGCACCATTGGCAGAGCTGAGGGGTTGGGGCAATGTAGTCAGAGACAAGAACAGAGAGGAAGCGAGGGGCAGAAAGGCGGGGAAGAAGCCTCAGACTTGAAGCTCCACATTCATTTTATAAGAACATAAGAACGGCCATACTGAGTCAGACCAAGGGTCCATCTAGCCCAGTATCCTGTCTCTGGCAGTGGCCAATGCTAAGTGCCCCAGAGGGAATGAAGAGAACAGGTAATCATCAAGTGATCCATTCCCTGTTGCCCATTTCATTCTATATTTACAGTTTAGAGTTCGTTCTAACCAGAACAGAAGCAAAAAGAAGAAAAGGGCAGTTCACCCTGTCACAGGCCATCCCTCTCAAATGTGGGGTAGTGCTGTGGGCCTGGATTGCCACAGGAGATTGACTAACAGACTGGCTGAGAATTGTCAGTCAAAAAGTTTTCCCGCCAAAAAAATGAGGTTTAATTAAAAAAAAATTCCACAGGAAATTGTCATTTTTGAATATTTTTCCTCTATTTCAATGGGAAATGAAGTAAAAGAGTTTGTTTTCATTCTGTTTAATGTCCAATTGAAATTTTTGTTTCATTTTGGTTTTCACAAACTGAAAAATTTTGGCAATTTCAAAAGGAGTTGAGGGAAGTTAAGGGAAAAAGGAAAATGGAAGGGAGAAAAAAACCCGAACCCTAGAAACAAGTTTTTCTATTGCAGCCAATGGTGAAAAAAGGGGAGGAAACAAAAAATTGAAATTTAAAATATTTTTTTATTTTAAGGGGGAAAAGAGAGAGAGAGAGAGAGAGAGAGAGAGAGAATTTCAGTTTGAAACAAAATGAAACAAACATTCCATTTACTTTCATTTAAAAATTTTCCTGCAAAAAATTAAAATTTAAAATTTTGAATAAAATCGTGTCTTTCAAAATTGTACAGGGAGTAAAAAAAATAAGTGTTTTGACCAGCTCTATTGACTTGCATCTATAGGGAGTGCACACCCCATATTTGCATGTATACAGGGGCTCTTCTGTATGCTGATTGGATAGCCGCTCGCTGACACCATAGGCACAAGGATTTGTATGTCAAAACCTGCTTGCACACAAGTCTACCATCAGCAAGCTGGGACATGGGACTGGTGAACACAGCAAGCTGCATACACACATTTTGTGCCTGCATTTGAAAAGCTAAAGGCATAAGCCTGCATGATGCATCCTTTTACTTTGTGACTCTCTTTCTCTCGGAAGCAACCCAAAGTGTGGAATGGGCAGTGCCAGGCTTGGCAAAAGGTAAGACTGCAATTTCATTCTGTACCAGAATTATTAATAGCCTCACCAATTACAGCCGCACACTGCATCCTGCAGCAGCCTGAGGACTGCAGTAATTTATGCATCTCCCCTCGTGAATGGTTTCTTTCTCCTCACGCTGAATATCTGTAGTTTGCACAATGCCATACAAATTGTCTTGTCTTGTTTTCCCAGCAGTTTTTACTTTTTTTCAGAGTTGTGCATTCCTCAGATGAATGACCGAGAAATAACCTCCTATTCAAAAGGGGGAAAAAGAGCCTCATTAATCCCCAAAAGGCATAATGACCTCAGACAGATTGATGAATGAGGCTCATCACTGCCGTCAACAAACAGAAACAAACAGGCCCATTTTGGTCATTTTAACGAATTAAAATAAAAGCCAACAAAAAAGCCTGGGCACAATTAAAATAAACTCATTTACTAACAAGCATGAGCTGAAGATGGTCTTTTTGCAGTGCACCTTCGGGAAATGGTCCAATCCTTACAGTTATGTCAGACCTCATAAAGGCAGGAATGTGCTGACATTCCCTGAAAGGGAGAGTTCTCAGATTGCTTCAGTTAGAGGCAGAAAAGATCTATCAAGGCATTTAGCCTCTCCCCATCTGGCTTATGAGGACTGTCCCTACAAAATGCTCTCTTGCACTCTGCCCCTCCCTGACACCCAGTGGGGCCAGTTGTGGCTCTGTGAAAAACACCTAGAAATAATTCAACAGGCACGTCCAGCTGTGGGTACTTAATGGTCCAAGCACCTGGGCAATAGCATAGGGATGTGCTCACAGCACCCTGGTTACAGAGGGTCGTGGACAGGTTAAAGGAGATATTAAGGAGGACGATGTATGAGCAGTCCCATGGAATGCATGGGGGCGGGAGGGTAGGCTTCTGCTAAGAACTTTGGGTTCAAATAACTTCGGGGGTCAATAATGTTTTCAGGAAAACGTCCACCCACGTTCAACACGGATGGTTCAGTAAATAGATCAATGTTTTGACCATGCACAGCCTTTCCCAGCAAATTCCAAGTCCTGGTCCCTGTTATCTCCATGAAGCTGCAAGAGGACACCATAACTAGGGAGTCGAAAGCTGTTCCATGCGAGTGCCGTCCAGGCTACTCCTTATAAGTCCCTTTGCAATTACCATGGAGGAACTGTATGTGCTCTCTTGGCCGCACATTAACTAAGCATGTGGCAGAATTAAATTAGCTCATTTAATGGCAAAAGATAGGCCCGTTACAAAGTAAAAGCTAAGTGATAACATTTGAACCCGGGGATCTTGCACACAAAAGCTGAGCACTGCTGCTTGAGTCAAGGACAGCACTCTGCTTTCGGCCTGGAGTATTTCTACCCTCTGAATCTGAAGTTAAAGCACCTCATAATGTGCTACTCAGTTACATGATGCAAGCTCTTGTGGTGTCACCAGATCTTGATGCTTGAGCAATGCACTTGTAGTGCCTCAGATGTCCCCTGTCAGCATGACACTGAATTAAGTAAATCACAGCAAACAA